TAGCTCTTCCTCGTTTTACCGTCTATTTTAAACAGATAGAACGTCTTCCAATCACCAAAATTAATTGATTTTTAGTCCTATTCAGATACAAGTTGTAGCAGACGTTCATGAACAACATACCACAGAACACCTCTGAACAACAAGAGCAGTCACAAAAACATGCTACAATTCAAAAGTATTAAGTAGTGCTGAACGCTAAAAACGATTTCGTGCTAAAAAAGGTGCATTAAGTAATAGATCAACTCAAAGTAGCTTTCATCAACCACGAACTAGTGCTGAACGTCAAAAATTATACAATGCAAATAAGAAATTACGACTAAAAAATATAGAAACTCAAGAAGAAGAGTTTACACAAACCTAAGAAGAGCAATATGTACAACATCTCGTTAAAGAATGTTAAATGTTGCAAATAAAAGATATTTTACATTCAAAAGGAAATTAAATTAAATTTTACCTATTCCTGATCCAATTATACATTATTAGACTAACACGAATATTAAAATTATAAAATAAAATAATTATTGCCATCATGCGTTAAACAAGTTCAATATTTTATGGTTTCTATTAATTTATGAAGTTATCACTTCTGTCGAGCGTCCCGTGACGCAAACCATTTTTTTTTGGGCCTAGAATATTTCCTTAAAGTCTTGCATATTAAAATTGAACCACCCAGTCTTCTTCATCATGATCTTCATCGTCATCTTCATGTCTTCTCATACTACTATAACACCAGTAAAATTTATAAATTCCGAACAAATAAAAGTTAATTTTATTACTTTACGACTATTTCATTATTTTTTTATTAGAAATTAATTTTATTTAACTCTTAAACGATATATCATAATATTTTAACCTCGCATTTGGTAGACGTGTCGGATCATGTATGAGGGAATAGAAACGTTTAGAAAATGATAAAGTGTGAAGAAGTTGGTTCAGTTATACTAATAGAAAGTTAACGAAGCACAAGAAGGATATGTCAAAGAAATTAAACGTATAAACATGTTTAACTGTGTTTGAAGACTGTTATAATATTTTTAAGCAAAGAATTTGCCAATATTTCTTGTGAATTTTGATAAGAAAACATAGTCAATCAAATATTTTACCGATTATTAGAGTTGAAAATTAGTAATGGAAACAGGAGTTATGATTCATTATACAAAGTCTAAATTGAGTTTCTTAAATATTCAGCTGCAACTGGTGACATTTTAATTAAGTCGATTAAAGGACCATAATTTTCACCCAAGTGTCCATTACCTTTTTTTCTCAATTATTGGAAGATCATTCTGTATTGCTCAAATTTAAATCTTGTAAATTTAAAGTTAACATTTATTTTCGAATGGGAAAAAATAATGATAAAAATACACAAAACTTCCACTAACACATATATAATTATAAGTATTTAGAAAAAAATATTATTTTCTTGTAAATATTTCAAATGTGGTCGTTTTGGCGGAGGTATTTATGTTTTATAACCATATCTTGTCTCTTATATAACGTCATTCTCCAGAGTCCAGAATATGTAGTGTGTGCATTGTAAGTTGCGGGAATACTTAAACTACAATACATTGTTCGATTATCAAAACACGTATCAGTATTTCACTCTTTTTATTCAATTGAGTTTTTCAGATAGGCCTTTTAAATATTGTCATTGACCTGATTATCCAAGATTATCCTTCAATTATATTTCGACCCCAGACTACACACTATTTCGACATTGACTTGTGATTGACTTGACATCAAAATAAGAAGACAGGTTAGTGTTTATCATATGCATTTACGTGTGGATTAAATTTATTAATATTAGCCCAAATATTAATCTGCGAAATTATTAAAGTATCCAGAGATATCAAGGAATGCTATAATTGGCGTACAGTAACAACAACAGGTAAAGGTATAAATTGTCACTTTCTTAAATGAGTTGTTCTTAGACAGGCTCAATCAATCAATTTAAATTCCTTTAGTTAGATTATTCCATTCAGTATTATTATACAACATTTTCCCCTATAAAAACTGCTTGACTGTTCGCATCAACGTTTTCAGATCGAAATGGCTGAGGAGCTTTCCAATGGTGATATATGCAGAGTATGTCGTTCAGAAGGGGGTGCAGACCGACCCCTATTCCATCCGTGCATATGCACTGGAAGCATTAAGTGGATTCATCAAGAATGCCTGGTGCAATGGATGAGGTATTTACCGCTTTTGAATGCTGATAACTATCAAGTGAACCTGCTAAAATCCATTGATTAAAACTCATACTGTGCTATACTCATACTCAACCTTACAACCTCAACCAACAATAGAACTTTAGTACTTCCACATTGTCGTTAAAGGCGCACAATTTGAAGTAGATAAAGATACACAAACAACAAATCATAAAATCATCATCGTATTTGAATAAACTTGGTATTAAAACAAGTAGCTGCAGATGCTCGTAATGAATACGCAATCTTTTGACAGTAATATAGTACTAGAGTAAACCTAGTACTTGTACTGTTCTAACAATACACCTATTTACTTCTGGTTACATGCGTTGGTCATGACAGAAATTTCACTAGCTTTATGAGCCCTGAGACTGTCTTAAATATTGCCGAAACGTTGACTCGACGAAGAAAAATAGTGATTTATTTTTCTGCCAACACCTCACGGACAGAAAGACCGTCTTACATATATATTTTTCAATATTTATCAAATACAGGGTGGCCATTTTTGAATCTTTGTATGGGTAACTTCTACATTTTTAAAGATAGAGAATCCGTTAAATTAGCAAAATTGGGCAGAATTCGATTGCCTATTCATTACCGTTTTCAAAATGTAGGTACCCGACTTGGTTCCTGAAATATTCTGAAAAGGCAAGAAATCAACACTTTTAATTATCATATAATTCGTAAACTGCTTAAATTAGAAAAAAAGTTAAAATTGTCTGGTAGAATTTCTTGTGTTAAATTCAATAAACTAGCACTTGTTCTCAGTCAACTTGATTTACGAAATAAAAAATTAACTTATGTTTTTTTAAATGGTAATCATAGTTGGCTGTGGGCTTTTTAAAATCCTTATTTTTTTCTGAATTTAACGATATAACTGTTTGCATTTTTTCTCCTTTTGTTGACTTAAAACTTCAAAAGAAGATAAAAATGTGTAGTAAGCTATGGAAACAATAACTACATTATCACACAAAGCACAAAACAAAAATGAAATAATTAACAGACACAATCATGTTTACTGGGCTAATGAAAATCATCATCTAATTGAAAATAGGCGATATCAACGTGTTTTTTTTTGTGAATGTCTGGTGAGGCATTTTTATTGATAAAATTATTGGGCCATTCTTTTATAATCACAATTTAAATATGGAAAGATATTTCTTCAGATTCTTCTAAGATTCAGAAAATGGCCACCTTGTATATCGATTCGAAAGTCACAACATTTACTTAGTTTAGAGCTGTTCACATTTTTCGCAATCTAACTACTACTCTACAACTACAATAAATTAAAATTACAGTTCATGGCTAAAATCTTTGAAACAACAGATTTTATTAATTTAAATAGTATACCTGGTAATGTGTTGAACAATTTTATGATCATGTAGTGTGGACAAGTTTCATTTACTGCTAGCCGATGTTGCGGGTAGTTTACATTTGGTAACCTCATGCTAGTTTTTGCCACAAGATTGAAAAAGGGTTTGTTTCGAATAAAAAATATTAAACATTTATAGATACGCGCATAAAGCGCATTGCTGTAAGATTTCTCATTTTTTTAAAACCGATTGGCATGTTTGGGGGTATCCCATCTTATTTATGATCCAACTAGCTTTTGTGTGGCAAAAATGTTTTGCCTCTGACTACTTTTACCCCAGAAGATTATTCCGTATTTTAACACAGACTCAAAATTAGCGAAATATATTTGCCTGCATGCTCTCTAGAAATATTTTAAGATGTTCTAACTATTATATTAATAGTTCGTGCAAGTCGTACCAAACATGTTCATTAATTCTAATTTAAGAAGTTTTTCAATATAAATACTCATATTTGTGACGCGTGACGGGTCAAAGAAATACCTTACGTAATATATGGACGGTCCCTTATCATAATTATCAAATGTGTTTTTTTGTTATTTCAGATATTCGAGGAAAGAATACTGTGAACTATGCAGTCATAAATTTTCTTTTACTCCGATTTATTCGCCCGATATGCCCAGAAGATTGCCAGTAAGAGATCTAGTTTCCGGCCTACTATCATCGGTCGCTACTGCTGTTAAATACTGGCTTCACTACACATTGGTCGCTATTGCTTGGTTAGGGGTGGTACCACTAACAGCATGTAGAATATACCGAGCATTATTTGCAGGTAGTTCAATTCCCTTTTCTGTTGTTTTCCAAATTTACATTTAATTTGAAAGTGTTGCCACCAAAGTTACAAACTTAATATCCATGTATGTTCTAAATATCGGGATTATTTCAGGTACTGCTGATGCTATACTTACTTTACCATTCGAGATGCTTTCAACAGAAAATATCGCAGGAGATATCTTTCAAGGAGGCTTCGTGGTATCTTGTACGCTTTTCGCGTTCGCTGGACTGGTTTGGTTAAGAGAACAAATTCTTCATGGCGGAGGTAATATGTTTGCACAAGCTCAATTTCTATTGCTCTAAAATGTCTGCCTGCTTCAGGGCCAGATTGGCTGCAGCGGGATGAAATGGTTCCTGTTGGTGATAATCCGCCCCGTGTTTTACAAAACATACCGGAAGAACTGCAGGACAATGACGATATAAATGAAGGGGTTGTTATTCAAGAAGAAGGTAACATTGTGCATACGTATATTAGAACTGATTAGGCGTCATTTTTTTCGAAAGGAGTAAGATTGAAAAACTTCCTCGATTAATTGGATATTCAAGTAAGGTTTACTTTTGATTATTGAGATTGCTAAAAACCGGCACATTGAAAACATCTGCAGGTTGATGCGGAAAATACATGAAAAGCGGTTTGTTGTAAAATCTTTAGAGTAATTTGGATGTATTGATTGTTTTTTGTATGCATAAAACATCAAAATATCGAAGCATTAATGTGCAAATAAGTATCCAGAAGCATGTACCGGTTTACGAGGGAAATAATGCGTGATATAAATCCGACTCCATCACTGGTTAATTGCCAAAGTTTTTTAAATTTACATCCACTAAGCATCTCACGCTGCATGCAGATCAAGCGCGAGTCGAGTGCTTTTTGCGGGTACTGTTTCAAACGTTGGTTCCAGTGAACCCGGAATCTCAAATCGTCATGTTTTCAGTGTAGCAAAAAGTGAAGACGATCCCACTGTTTCACGGTTTACTTTGATGTGCTGGCGAAAAACTCACCATAGATGAATTGCGACGAATTTCTAGGGAGTCAAATGCGCGTCTATCGCCTTCCACCAGGGTTGCCAGGTCCGAAAATCGAGTTTCGGTATATAAGCTCGAGACTTTTCGGTAGAAAATCGGTAGACTCATTTTT